ACCACTCAACTGACAGAGGATAAGATGGAAACCTAAGCAATAAAATCCGGATGTTTGTTGGAACATTGAGATAACCCTCTGTCAAGTGAGGCTGACATATTGATTTGCTCAGCCTGAGTCAATCTTGCAAACCACCTCCAGCCTGTGACAGAATGGAGCAGTGTATAAAGGCAGCAGAAATTTGAGGAGATGCAGTGTGATTAGTGCAGCAGAGATTTTTTTTAACTTCCCTGTCTTGCAGTCTGTCCCCTCCTGATGTTGAAGATATTCTATTAGTTGAGGCGTCAATAACCAGGGAGTATTGATTTAAGGGAAGGGATAGAAACTAATAGGAGAGTTGAGAAATGTTTTCAGTCAGAGGGTGATTGAAGTTTGGAACTCACTATCTGGAAGGATGGTTGAGTCAGAAACTGTTGTAAGATTTAAGCAACATTTAGATATTCACTGGTGCTGCCACAACCTCCAGGGGCTGTGAATCAAAATTTGGAAAATGTGATTCGTAGTCAGATCTTTGTTAACTGCCGTAGACATGATACGGTGGTCAGAGGATATGGTGTCTGTGGCGCCAGTAACACTCCACTACTTCACCCAGGATCAATCTTTAAGCGTTCTATAGGTGTGAGTGACATTATGAGTGTTTGTTTTTGAGTAGTTTATTGGTCTAATTGCACATCTCTCATAGCACAGCATTGTGTAAACCACTCGATGTGTTGTTCAGTGGCAGTAAAGACCTTTTCTCTTTTAACTGTGCAAGGATGCAATTCCTCCATTAAATGTAAACAGAAAATGCCGAAAATAAGCAGAAACCTCAAAGCTCCTGAAAAAGAGAGCAAACGGGTAAATGTTTCAGAAGCAAGACTGCGTGCATGTGTGCACACGTGTGTGTACACAAGCTTGTATTGAACAATCCATACAACAGAATCACTGAATTTCTTATAGCACAGAAGGAAGTCATTCAACCCGCATGTCTGCTGGCTTTTCAAATGAGTATCAGTACTTAGCCACTTCCTGCTTTCTCCCCATTTCCTTGCACACTATTTCTATCCAAATAATCATCCAATACACTCTTGTATCTTGTCACTTTCCAGTATGCCAGTTTCACATGTTGAATTCACTCTGAAACCCATTAGTGGTAGTGACCTTGAAGCAATCAAATTAGCATAGAACCCCAAATAGTTCATGAATGTCTTTCAGAGAAGTGCAGAAGCCTGCTGTCTGTACCCATATATGTCTGTATATACCTGATCCTTAACCAGTCCAGTGCCAGATCAACAAGGTTGACTCAGAAATGGCCTAACAAACCAAACAGCTGTACACAGCAATTGGCGATAGACAATTAATGCCAGCACGGTAAGCAAGCAAGAATCAACTTTCAACAGCCAGCTGAAGTCAGTATATGTAACTCCACAGTTGCATAGTCCTATGACAAATTGTGTAGGTTCACTAATGGATAGCCAGGAGAAAGCTTTTGGGATCAAGATTCAGCGTCTTCAGAGAGAGCAAACAGAAGTGGGAAGGCATTTGGCAGGTAAGCAAATGCCCGTATATCTCGACGTGCGTTTAACAGTGAGACAATTTTTTGATCCTTATGTTGGAAAGACACATCATTTCCATACAGTTCCCATATTTCACTTTGACTGAGATTATTAAAATGGTGTATCCAGTGCCAATTATAACATTGTTATAGCTTTCACTTGCCAATCAATCTGGTCCATGAATCATCTCCAAAGAACCCTCTATTTAGGGGTGTAACTTTGTTGAGGCTTCTTGAGTCAATTTGGCTCACTTTTTCAGAGTGCAGCTTAGCATTGGATTTTATAGCTTCCCTGACTGAGAGTTAAAGGAACCATCAGAAAGGAATTTTCGTGCATCACATGGTCCTTTTCTAGAGTGAAGCTATCTTTCTTTCATTTGTTCACAGAATGTAGGCATCACTAGCTTGGCTAGCATTTATCCCCATCTCTAATTACCCTCGAGAAGGTGGGGTTCATCTGGCTTCTAGAACTGCTGTAGCTGTTAGGGTTTATGGAAACCCAGAGTTAGTACATTGACATTGTAATACTGACCCCAGTTCACCTACTACTCAAACCTTCAACCATGCCTTCATCACCTCAAGCCTGTATTATTCCAACTCAATCCTGGTCTGTTCTCTCATGTTCTATTCTTGATAAATTTAAGCTGATGCAAAACTCTGCTGCCTAGGTCTCAACTCGCACCAAATCCCATTCTTCTATCACTCCTGTGCTTGCTGACCGACATTGATTCCCAGTCAATCGATGTCTTGATTCTAAAATTCTCTTCCTTGTTTTCAGATCTTCTCATGGCCTCATCCCTCCCTGTAATCTCTTCCAGCTCCACACCCTGTGAGATGTAAATAGAAGTTTCTGTTAAGCATTTGACTCTACAAACAATGACAAGAATTATTTGTTGTGAGGGATATTGCTGCTATGGAAAATGTTGACTTTGTAATCGATTCTGGATATCATCCTGAAATGCAACTCTTAACATGCAGAGTGTCACGGGTTTACTGAGATCAGCTGATGAAGCTGAGTAAATATAGATTGGAAGAAGGCCTTCCCTCCTTTCCTGAAGCTGCTAATTCTTGCTGGGAATCCAGATCAACAGGCATTCAGAGCCCTATGTTAGCTCTCTGAGATGTATCAAAGGCATTGAAAGCAATGCCTCATTAATTTAAAGAAAATCGCATTTGCGGGATTTGTTCTCGAGCAAACCTGACAGTTCAAAGCATATTGTACATGAGATAAATACAGATAATTCCAATCCAGTGTACCTACTCACTTCCTGTGAAGGAACAAATGTTATCTTGTTGCAGCATATCACTTGCTGGATTTGGATATACCACCAACTCAAGGTGGTCATTATCTCCGGTGAAAGAGGATGAAGATTGTAAATCTTATATAGAGTGATTTGAACCATAGTGGTACTTACCCTGAGGGTGATATGACATCTATTGGTTTATATTGATTGATGGTGTATTTTATTAGTGACTCTGACAAATTTGCTTTCCTGATTGTACACCCACTGATCTGATAATCTTTAGCTAAGAAAGATGCAGAGTGGTGTGGAGACCTATTCTTCTCTATTCTCATGAGGCTTCAGGTTGTTGGGTTATGTCTTACAGCTGATATGCAATATATATCTAAGAGATGTACTTACGATATTATTATATCATGCCGTTTGTCCTGATGGTATAAAGGTCTCAGGCACAATCTTACTGGGGATGCTTGCAGCATGTTAAACTGAGAGAGCATGCAACTGTTTGTAACCTAATTACTCAGTACTAGTGCAAACATGCAGTGTCTTTGATTGAAATATATGAAGACTCCAGGAGCTGTCACAAATATCTATTGAATCCTTCAGTGGTACATAACCTACGTCTGGTTCTTATGAAATGTGAGATAACATAAGTATCACCTCATTGGGCACAAATTTCCTGCTAAAGGTAAAAACCCCATAACTGTATCTGTGTTAAATCATGAGGGTAGAACAGATCAGGATTAACTGTGGTGGGTGTCCACATATAAAGAAACAATTCCCAAATCTCAGACATCACAACAGTGGTAAGGAGCCCTTACTGGCTTGCAGCAGTACACTACACCGGTGATCTTGTTATATTATTGGACTGCTCATTCATGGGTCTAGGCTAATGATCAACAACAAGAGATCAGATCTCACCTTGACAACTAAGGAATTTAAACTGCATTAAGTTCAGGTTTAAGTGCATTTTAATCGTGTGTTTTCACGTTAGGACATCCCCAGAATAGTCATGCTTCCGATTTCATTTCAGCACACTGACTGAGCATTCTCAGACTTTATTTAAAAATAAGCTTTGCCACTTTCTCTCCCTCCCCTGTCCCCTACCTCACTTCCTCTCTGTCTTTTACCCCTCCTCCTCTCTCACTCTCTCCATCTCTCACTGTTCCCCCATTCACCGCCTCTCCTGTTCACCAACTCTCTCACTAATTGCTTCCTGCCCCCCTCCCTTATATCCACTCACAATCTTCCTTGCTCCCTTAGTCACCTCCCCTGTCTTGCTGCATCTCGCCACTGCTGTCACTCATAGCGAGAGTTCAGGAGAGCAGAGTGGCAAGTGTGAGGAAATGGAAGAATCTGGGGAAGTGGTGATAGAGAATGGTGGTAAGCAGGAGATCAGTGGAAAGTCTTAGTATGTTCTTAAGATTTCATAAGTTATTAAGAGTAAGTAAAATAATTTTTGAGCATGGTAGGCTAAAGGCAGGCAATAGGATTTTATTGCAACCCCTCTTCAATTGCTTTTCTTATGGGAAAGTAAATTCGGAGTTGAAATGTTAGGAGTGCAAAAACAAAAGCTGGTTGTAAATACTGTAAACCTGGAATGAAAAGCTAGTCTCATTAATGGTGACTGTGAAACCACAGGAATGTTATAATATCCCATAAGGTTCATGAATGTCCATCAGGGAAGGAAATCTGCTGCCCATACCTAATCTGGCCTACATGTGACTCTAGACTCATGGTAAGGTGATTGACTCTTAACTGCCTTCTCAAATGGCACAGCATGACTCAGTAGCATCAAACCGCTACAAAAGTCTACAATCTGCATGGACCTCAGCAATTCAAAAAGGCAGCTCACAATCACCTTGTCAGGATGAGCAATAAATGCTGCTGTAGCCAGCAATGCTGACATCCTGTTAACAGAGCTGAGACTGAGAATTGTACATGGATGATGGTCATAGTGCAATCTCATTGTCCCATTCGATGGGAGCATGGAATCATATCTAGTACTGCATCTGTTTCAAATATTGTCATATTGATGTTATAAATGATCGAATTAAGACATATGGGGGACAGTTTCAAAAGCTGACTCTCATTTAAGCTTTTGACCTAAAACCAAGAGCTACAAACCAAATCGATAATAACCCTTCATCCGCCTTGTTTAAGACATTTGTTTTTCCTTCCCTGTCTTTCTTCCTCTAAGCACTGTTTCGTGCCTCCTCCTGCAGCTTGCAAGAAAATATAACCTGGTCGTGGTGTCACCAATCTTGGAGCGGGATGAGTTTCATGGGGACACACTGTGGAACACTGCGGTAGTGATTTCTAACTCTGGCAAAGTCCTCGGCAAGACCAGGAAGAATCACATTCCCAGGGTCGGAGATTTTAATGAGGTAAGAAGGTGGTGACTATTTCAGTGTGTAACATGCAAGAAAATTGTAGCAATAGGATATTCTGTCTTGTCAGTTTCTATATCCTGGTCTTTTTGTGTAATCAAAATACCAATATTTTGGGGAAAACAGTGGCTTAGTGGTTAGCGCTGGTGCCTCACAGCACCAGGGACCGGATTTGATTCCACCCTCAGGCAAGTGTCTGTGTGGAATATTCTCTCTATGTTTGTGTGAGTTTCCTCTAGGTGCTCTGGTTTCCTCCAGCAGTCAAAAGCTGTGCGGGGTTAGGTGGATTAGCCATGCTAAATTGCCTTTAGTGTACAGGCAAGTGCAGGTTTAGGTGAATTGGCAATGCTAAGTTGCCCTTAGTGTACAGGGATGTGCAAGGTTGTAAGGATAGGGTAGGATGTGGGTTTGGGTAGAATGCTCTTTGGAGGGTTGGTGTGGACTCGATAGGCTGAATGGCCTGCTTCCATACTGTAGAGACTCTATTTCTCTATGAATTCTAAGAAAATTGTGTTCCCTGTGTAGCCCAGTGAGGTAAAATGGACCACCCACACATAATGTGGAACTGAGCCAAACAGCATGCTCCCAGCTACAACCTCTGCTCAGTTTGAATTTGGTTTAGTGTAGGTGATGGTTTGGTGATGGTGATTGAGCACTAACTGTATCACCTTAGGGTGAGGGGATGTCTCTGCTCCCTTGGCCTGAAAAGTTTAGCTGAGAAGTTCTGGAATAGCTCCGCACACAGATGTGTAAATGAATGGGATAAGCTTGTCAGTTCTGAGTATTTCTAATTTGCTGTCAGCTATTAAGTCAGTTCAACAGTCTATAGCCATGTAGCATGGAATAGTTACTATCTCTTAGGAGATAACTGTCTGTTACTGAGTGTTAATATAGTTAACCAGTTTTCAACTAATGTAACCTCGCTACTGGGTAATAAACTTCTTGTTACTGAGAATGGTCTCTTTTGCCAAAGTCTAGTTCATGGTGAATCCTTCACCACTGAATATGAGTAAGTCCCAGAGACTAACATTTCATGAGGTTAGGTGGCAGCAAATCCTCCCAGAAGGTCCTCTCCCAACACTATCCATTGTTTTCTGCTGTAGTTTCGGAATTGCAGATTAGGCATTGTTGATACTGATTGCTCCATACCATCTTGTTGCTATTCTGACTGTCCTCCTGATAATTAATTACTCTATTTCTCGTAGAATTGATGTACAGCTACTAGATCTGTAGTTACCTGTGCCACTTAGCTCTCATTTGGAATATCTACCAGATTGGCATGCCTCTAACGTAGTGCTACTTCCCATTATTTGGGAAATGCTCCCTATAATTGCCACTCCTCTGCTTTATCTCTGCAATATATGATATGTGGCATCATTTCCGGCTGATTGATGTCCTCAAAATATTAAAAGAACTAAAAGAAATCAATCATTTAATATCAGTCATTGATTCAGTTGGATGAATTCCATATGGTACACATGCTGCTTGTTTCTTTATACATTCACAGGAGAGTGGGAGTCACTGGCTAGCCCAGCATTTGTTATCCATCCCTAGTTGCCTTTTCCAGGATTTTAAACCAGTAACAGTGAAGGAATGGTGATATAGTTCCAATTCAGGATGGTGATTGTTGAGGCAGTCTTGTCAAGTTGCTACAATGCATCTTGTGGAGGGTACACACTGCTGCACCAGTGTCAGTGGTGAAGGGACCGAATGTTGCAGGTGATGGATGAGACTGCCACATGCCTACCTTGAAGAAGTTCTGCTCCTCTCTCTGGCGGGACTCTTTGTCTGTCCAACTGCTCTTCTCTTTCTTTAGGCTCTATCCTATCGTTTACTCCCTACCCTATTCCCCTCCCTTTTTTCTGTATATAAACTGACGTTTTCCCAGCCACCATCAGTTCTGAGGAAGGGTCAGCGGACTGGAAACGTTAACTCTGTTTTTTCCTTCACAGATGCTGCCCAACCTGCTGAGCTTTTCCAGCAAATTTGTTTTTGTATATGGGATGTTTTGTCCTGGATGGTGTCAAACTTCCTGATTGTTGTCCAAACTGCACTCATCTAAGAAAATGGGGAGTATTCCATGATATTCCTGGCTTGTGCCTTGTAGAAAGTGGACAGACTTTGGGAAGACAGGTGGTAAATTACTCATTGCAAGGTTCTTAGCCCCTGACCCGCTCATATAGCTGCCATATTGATATGGCTAGTTCAGATCAGTTCTGGTCAATGGTGACTCTGTTGCCATCTCTTGTGATACTGAGAGGGAAAAGACATTCAGTTTGTTCTGTTTCAAGCCTATTCTTTTTGTTTGTGTCTGACTTCTTGCATGTAAGATGCTAGGAGAGCACTATATTGTCATTTAATCCCAGAACGTGGGGCCAAGGTAGTTGAAGGCACAACCACCAATGATAAGGGGAAAGGAAGTGCGAAGAAATTTGATTAGAGGAATGTGGACTCAAGGCTTGGAGCGCAAGACTCCTGAGATCGGGAAGAATGAAGCAGAAAATTTATACAGGAAGATGAGGACTTTAAACTGGAAGTACTAGTGAGCCAGAGCAATGTAGGTGAAGAGGTGAGCAGAACTTGATGTGAGATAATTCAGGGGCAACTGTGGCCTGTAAGATACTTGGCACACAACAGTCATTAGACCAGCGACCGTTCTTGATCAATGAATGAGCTCACGTTGTAAGGACATTTATGACTTTGCACTTTCAAAAGACAAATTATGGTAAATGTCATCCGTGAAATATCTGGACTGTGATGTGACTGAGCCCAGAGGCAAAAGCAATTATCACACAGACACTTTCAATGAACATTTGTCTACTATAAATGTAGTGGGTATCTAAATATAGGATAACAGATAGCTGGGAGCAAAGCAGCAGCCTGTCATCTCAAATGCGTCATGACTGCACTTTATTAATATTAGCGAATATACTGAATTGAATTCCTGCCTAATCCGTTTATTTTATATATAATGTAGTGTTGTTTGTATAAATAACCATGCAGCAGTCAGAATGTGTGCAGTAGAAGTTAAGTGAGGTAGGAAAGGAGAATACAAAGATAACTACAAAGCAATGTGCAGTATACATAAGCACATCACCGAGAGAGTCAGGGAACAAAAAAAAATTCAATTATTAAAATTGAGATGTTTCTCATGCCTTTTCCAAATCATTTCAAACTCTCTGAACTCAGTTAGTCTGTTAGGTTTTTGAGGCTGTTACCCTTATCACTATTTAAGATGATGGGCTAGATTTAGTGTCCCCTGCGCTAAACAAGGGGTGTGGGTGTCTTCAGGGATCAACTCGGTCACTCATCCCTCTGGTCCCCCAGTGAGAAACCCCACTGGATCAAGCCCCAATCGGCCACTTGAGTGCTAGTCAGTAGATTTCTTGGCCAATTGGAAACCTTGACACTGAAATCCAGTCCTGCCTGAAGATACTGGCCAGTTAGAGGCCGGCTGGGAACTGGAGAGTGTAACTGGGGATTGTGCAGCCATGAGGAACTGTGTCGGTGACAAGATAACTGTTTATCTGGGGGACATTGAGGTGATTAGGAGGGGTTTCTGGGGAATCGGAACCAAGGGTTTGCTTTCAATAGCCAGACCCCTGCCCCTAGATTGGGGTGAATGAAGTAACCCTCCCTCTTCCCCCACCTCATCCTGCAGACAAGCCATCCTGGATTCCCTGTTGGGGAAGTAGCCACTTTCCTCGCCTTTTGGAAAGGCAGGGAATCAGGTTGTAGGAAGCCCAAGACCATTAAGCCACTGTTAATTGACCACTGAAGGGCCTTAATTGATGGCAGGTTGAGAAGGTTATCATTGGTCCTGAGCTTTATTGCTGAGGTGGTGGTTGACATCTCACTAATGCCAAGCTGCCCAAATATTTGCCCTTCCCACCATCTGCCCTGTGACCTGCAGGAAAGAGATGATCCTGCATTACTGGTGAAATCTTGGAAAGGCTCTGGCAATGAGAATGGAGACATAGGTAGCAAGGAACATGAATAAACAACATAAAGCATACAAAGCTACAAGCCTAGTGCTGGGAAATGGGATTAGAATGGATGGATGATTGATAACCAGTGTGGACACAATGGGCCAAAGGGCCTCTTTCTGTGATATAAAAATTCTATAACTCTGAGAGTGAGAAAGGGAGGCAAGAGACAGAGAATGGGTTAGACGAAGAAGAGGGTGACAAAGAGTAAGAGTGGAGATGGAGGGGAACGCAGAGGTGGTGGAACAGAGTGAGAGGAGCATACAGCAAGAGAAGCGTGGACAGGAACTAGATAGAGAGATGTATCTGGACATTTTTCGATTTCTGTCTTGGGGCAGTTAGCCAGTATGCTGGTTTTCTGTCTTGTTATCGCCATAGGCCATTTTCAAAGAGACTGGTATGTGAGGAGGGCTAGGGGTGGTGATGGCTACATCAATGCACCAATACCCCTTGACAAGCTTATTGAAGCCACTAAGCAGGTGGTGACTAGAATTTTCCACTCAGGCCATTCATTGAGGCTGCACCACAGCCGTTGAAGCCTTCTGGGATTTTCCATCTACAAAGGTAGCCTGATGGCTACAGACACATTTAAGTTTATCTTTTCAAAAAGCCTTCAGAGAGCGACTCCATCTTAAGGTAACACATCTTCCTCCTACTACATCTCTGATCACAGCACTTCCAGAGGTGGAAAGCCTTCAATTGGAGCCTATCGCTCTGACCCTGAGTGGTACTGTGCCTAAGCAATGAGACAGTGACAATAATTGACTGAATGAGTGTAGAGCCATTGGCTGATTTGTATGGATGATAAAATGAAACTGAAAGATTTGCAGTGTCAGTGAGGTTGTACTTCACCAGTACTCACTCCCAAGTACATAAATCTACTCAGATTTTGGAATGAAATGGCTCTTAAAAGAAATATTGCTGGAGGTTTATGCTTGGCTAGGGAATGCAGTGCTTGGCAGCAATCCTGTGTTCTGACTGTTCTGTCAGTTGGAATCCAACAGTAAAAAC